GTTTTTAATGTGCTTGCTGCTGTGCGAGGGTCGTGATATTTACAGAAGACAATATTTTACATTTTAGGTGTTTCACTGAACATCATATTTACTGCAAATGCAGTAAAGGAATAGAAGCATACGTCAGCATTATCAAAAACAACCAGCAGTGTCGGATTAATATCCCTCCACAAGGTGCAGTGAAACAAGCGAATGGTAGAGAAGCAGGTACAAATAAGTGCAAAAATCTTTTGTCCTCACTTTCAAAATGTTCATGAACTCGAGTCAAAACAGTTCCTACAGATGTTATATACAGTTTTAATTGGTTTAATTGGTTCGTCGTGTCTTGTTCACTATGTCAAAAAATCCTACAGTGCCTCCTTGAACTGTATGTGAGGTCCACTTTTCCCTGAACCATTTGAGTCAACATTTACTCTACTGCTTCATCTGTTGCTATGTCTCTCCATCAATCTGTGCTTTTATTGTTCTTGGTTGGACAACGCATGTCTGATTCAGAATTTAATTATCCCGCTGGACACATTTTATGAGTCACAACTGGCTACTAATGTTTTATCTAACTTTATTAAAAATATCTCACACGCTGACCTGAGGCCGCTTAACGTTTAGTTCGATTTTTTTTCTTGGTGTAAAAACCTTGTCAAATTCTTTAGCTGGGTTGAATGAGACCAATACATCTTTATAAAAAACTCTGTTTATATGTCAACCACCTCCATTGTGCCAGGGTCTCAGCTGAGTAAGCACAGTATAAAAATCCCATAATCATTTCTGAATGTGCCCAAAAGGCCCAAACATGTAACTATGACCTTCTAAACTGCTTGGTCCACGTCCAAACCATGTCTCATGTTCCTCATGTGTATCTACGCAGAGGTCAGAGGCGAGAGCTGCACCATGAAATTAATCCGCTCTACGTGGTTCCACTTTATTAGAGCTGACAGCTTTTTAAAGTTACACGGGCTCCCTGGTGCTGCAAATGAGTTATGAACCAGCACAAAAGAATACTTCTGAAACCTCAGGTATTAAAATATCAGACCGGGATGCTAATGGGCATTACATGCGCCGTGTTCCTCTTTATCGCTATCCAAATTTGCAGAGCATTTTTCAGTTGTAAGGTGGAAAATGTTAAATGATAGTTCCTTTGCATTATTCATTGAGACTAAAAGTGGTTGTTCTCTGCAATGCAAGGCTGTTTGTGTGCCGTTCTGGTTTTGCTTTTCCATTTGAGCGGGTTAAATTGTGGACCTGCAACAGGAAGCCTGGTCTCTAGAGTTCATTTTTTCCACTGAGAGATGATTTACGTGGTCTGTGGTTCATCTTATTCCACCTGTCTCAGGTGTGGTGCTGCCGTTTAATATTAGCATCAAACAGGGTAAGTAACTACTTATGACAGTTGTTGAGAAGAGGCAGGACAGGTTGCCAGATGCAGGACTCGGTAAATTTTATTCAGTTCAATTTATTGTATTTATATAATACCTAATCACAGCAACAGCCACCTTAAGGTGCTTTATGTTAAAAGGTAAAGATCCTACAATAGCACAGAGCAAACCCCAACAATCAGACAACCCCCTGTGAGAAAGCACTTGGTGACAGTGGGAAGGAAAAACTCCTGTTTAACAGCATGAAACCTCAGGCGAACCAGACTCAGGGAGGGGCGGCCATCTGCCACGCCCTGTTGGGATGAAGAGGGAAAGGCAGGACTTAAAATCTTAAAAATAATGTGGTATATTACTTAAATACTCGCCGGAGAAAGCAATTTGTTACTCTACTCGTTCCATTACTCCATAAAATGACTTGAAATGCGCTGTCTCATAATTACCAGTTAACAATACAGTTAATACACACAACACAAGAGGGGTCCTAAAAGCCGAAGTCTCTGCCTCTCTTTCTACTTTTAAATACTCTAAGAACAACAAGTAATATGTATTTTAAATTTGTTAGTCAACTAGGTTTAGACATATGGAGAAGGGCAAATGTGAACGCCTGCAATTACATCTCAGTCAGAACCTATTTTCCTGACATACTTCAGATACTTTAGACATTTAAAGCAACTGAAAATGGAGCATCGTCAGCCATCAGACAGCCACGCTAATGCCTGATTTAGACTTCTGCAGGAAACAGAAATGCTTCATAGTTCGTCGGCAACATCTACAAAATTAGTCATGTGTTCAGAGGTTAAACAACTTTTCAGTAGCACTCATGGATAATCATCATACATAATTTAACTGCAAACATTTGATCTTTTTGGTTATGATATCTGTTTTTTCACATCATTGTGTTTTCCCATTTTACACTGAAGTTTCTGATTATCTGGTTTTTAAACCCTAACTGTATTGAAGTGACATTCATTTATTTACTCTACAACTCCAAGCTCTTTGTTCTTTTGTAAACCTCCATCCTGAAGCAACCATGTAATAATATTTTTTGTTGAAATAACTTTCATATTTCACTTTGCTCGTTCATTTTGCACCAGACAAAAACATCACAGCGCTGGTTCTGGCTGAATTGTTTTCAGATCCATCAGAGGTCTTGCTGGTGACTAGTGTGGTGAGACCTGTCACACCAGCTGTCCCTTTCATACAGACATCAGTTCAGCTCTGCAGGCTTAAAGCTGCAACAACAATGCCCCGCAATCCATCTCAGTACTTTTAACAGAGGTGGATTGTTGGGTGAGGCAGAAGAGCAGTGCATCAGTCCCGCATTGAACAAGCTGCCTAATAGAGGTGAAACAGCCTAAAAGATGAGTGAATGCCAAGCTTTATCTGTGGGGACACAATCTCAGCTCTAATGTGGCTCCAGCTCCACCTCACCATTGTTCAGAAATGACATAATGCAGCTTTAAATGAACAATAAATGCAAAGAATCACTGTTGATGAGAAATACACGTATAACAGCACTTTAGTTTATATAGGTTTATTGAAAAAAGGGTTGATATAAAAGCTAAAATACTGCCTCTTGGTTTACAATCAGTGAAAATACAGAGTAATACTCTAATACGTCTTATGTATAGAAGAACATGTGTCAGAAGCTGCCTCAAAAGAAATGAAGTTATTTCACATTGTCTTGGGGACCTAATTAAAACACACTTCAGTTATTTTAGTAACACACTAATGGCAAGTAAATGTGACCCTGAATATATATTTGGTCTAAATACAAAGAAACAAAAACCTTCTTTGAAAAATATAATTGCACAGTGATGACTGTGTTGGAACACAGCTTTGCCTGATATATATTTGATCCCACAAATTATGCTCTGTTGATGGGTTAGCGAGAGTGGCTCTGACACTGCACAGGTGTCAAGTTTCCACAGGGGCCACGGGACTAACTTAACAGCACTTAAAGTCTATTTAATATAACTAAATACTTATTACATTACATGAATCTTAATAAGGTAAATCGTGAGTGACGTAGAGCATATGCTGTTGAAAGTTTGTTTAACATATTTCTTATTAGTTTAACAAAGTTAGTCCTGCTATTTAGATAATAATCACATTATAAAGGAAAAATCTGGACTTTTTTTTACAGATGGGTGAAATATTTAATCTACTAATTATGGACTGGGTTGTGGTTTAACACACTAACCTTTATCTTTTCATATCAGTGTGTCTGGAAAACAGCACAGTTTTATTGAGCAATGGTGTTTACGCAAATTTGTATAATTATATAAGATTCTTGGCCATTAGAGTAATGAGAAATGAATTACACTTACAGGATTGCTGCACCATTAGCTCCAAATTGATAAGACTACCACCAGTAACCTGTCAGTCAGTAAATAGACCATAAAACACAAAAGATGATAGACGATAACAATGACCACAAGCACTTGGACTTCCATAGCTATTTGTGTGTGTGTGTGTGTGTGTGTGGGGGGGGGGGGGGGGGGGACCCAAAACAAAACAAAGCAATTTTGCGGCATGGGAGCAGTCGAGTGAACCTGAAAAGAAAGCCTGTGGGGTGCTGGGAGTGTCCAGATTGAAAGCACATGCTGGCTGATCTAAACTCTTAGTCTTTATTCTGTTTTGGCTCAGCGGTTCTTTTGACACATCATATATCAACTTAAGTAAAACTATAAAAAACTAAATCATGAGGCTGATGGGGACAAATGGTGGGCTGAGCTGAATAGTTTCCTGACTTGTGGCTTTTGTTTTCTATCACTGCAGGCTGGATTGGGTTTTATTCAGCTCACGCGCTCTGCAGCTGATAAGCAAACAATATCAATAAACTCCAGACAGCAACATTTAAGTTGCTCAGCATTTCTGTATTCTAAAAAAAATGCAAGCAAAATTAATATATGTGTCGCATACTGTGCATAACATACTTACAGGCTTTTACATATATGTGAAATATTGAATGAATCCTCAAAAATGAAGTCAGATACTGTTTCTAGCACTTTAATGAACGGCCTTCATTTAGTAGCTTCTGCCTGTTGTACATTTCATTAAAAAAACATTTTGTAAGATTATCTTCAATATAAAAATAAAACAATTACATTAAAAAAAACATAAAGTGGTTCACATATATATAAAATAACTGATAGTTAAAAATGTTCTTTTGCCACCGTGAGCATTCCTTTTGAGGCATTTATCTTTCAGCTATTTGGACAATGTAGTAGCTTTTCATTCCTACTAAGGACAGGTGCTGGTATGAAAACACTGCATCTAACTTCTTCTGTTGGTCCTTTTTACAAAGTGTAAAACTATCCTGAATTGTAACGACGTCCTACCTATTTTACCTAAAATCCATGAAATAGAATTCATCTGCTTCTTGGTGGTGCATAAATATTTGGTCTCTCTTAACCAATAAGATCAATTGGCTAAAAAACAAAAAGCTGCACTGATTGGTGTTTTCATCCATGCTCGGTCATCCAGATAAGGAAATCCCAAAAAGTTGATTCTGTTCATCTGGATGCAGCGTTTTAAGTGGGGAAACGTTTCGTCACTCACCCAAGTGACTTCTTCAGACGTCCAGATGAACAGGACCAACTTTTTGGGATGCACTGATTAGTGTTTTATTTCTTTACAGTCTTTATCAGTACAGTGTGGCCTTAACGTCAGCTTAGAATCGGCTTCATTTTCATTTTTCACTTCCAACAACAGTCCTTTGAGCCTTTATTTCAAAACATATCGCATTCTATTTAAGACACCGAGGGTCTCGACATCCCATCTTGCATAAAATCATCACTAAAAACACAGTTATGTCAATGGCTCTGACTCCTTAAACTGAACATATAGCACCATTGGATCAGTGTGTGCTTTTTAGTAGTTTCTGTGAGCTTCCTCTCTATTCCTGCATCAAGCTCAAAATCAACTAGACCTGTGCTAGCGAGCTCTGCGTGTTACAGTTAACAAAAGCTTGTGGATGGTTTCCCCCAATTGCCAGCCCCTGAATATATCCCATGAGCCTTCACTCTCAGAGTAATGCCACTTTCACTTCAAATCACAACAAGCCTTCTACATTTATGTGTGGAAAGCCTACATCCAAAATTCTTCTTTGAGTAATGAATATATTAAAACTAGAATAATAAATCATATCATTCTGAGCAGAAGGATATGATATCAATTTGATGTGGAAACATTTCTTTTGATGTTTTCAAATTTGACACGTCTGCATTTTTCCAAACCACATTTTTTGATATAAAAGGGCAGGAACTGGCAACAAAGTCCCCACAGCAATTTTTCCAAGGAAGCTGTGTGAATGTGAATGTTTTTTCCTCAGTCAGCAGCTTTTATTAAAAATTAATCTGACTTGAAATGATGGTGGCATTACTCACAAAGCCTTGCACGAGACAGAAAGGTAGAATTGTTCCTCTATAGCTGTGTGAAGCAAGAAAATATTATATACAGGCACACAATCAGAGTTCATGTATGCAACATTCAAACACACACACACACACACACTCTCCCATGCCATTCACTCTGTACTCAGCACATATTTTTGACATCAACATGTGTCCGTCAAGGTGAGATTGCACTTGGTGCTAAGATTTGTTGCCGGATAAGGTGAATGTGAAACAACTGGACGTCCCGAGGGATCGGTGGATGGTGCTGGGGATGGAGTGCAGCTTCTGCAAGCTGTCCAGAGAGTTGGACGGGTACATACAGCGTGTGTGCATACATCCATAGCAGTGACAGGGAGGTACAGAGGTTCAGCCTGGGAATACCAGGCTGGATGACATACAGGACTCCCTTTGTGTTTTAGTTGATCTTATTAGCGCGTCTTCTAGATTTCTTCACCCTGGAGAAAGATTCAGAAGGTATTAAGATGAGTTTATGTAACTGAAATCAACTTTGTTTTAGCTGTCACAGTTATATTTACATATTTACATTTAAAAATCCATGAGAACAAATAACGGGTTATTGTTGAGCCACAGGTTAAAAACATGTTATCTAGTTTTATGTGACTTTAGTCATTTGAAATTCATCTTCTCTTGGAATGAGCTGTGCATCACTGGTATAAAGGATGAGCGAGTTGTTTTTGACCTTTTTCAGAGAGCATGATATATGAATGTAAGTTTTTTTAACTAAACATTATATCTTCAATTTGTTTAATATAGGCTCTTAAAAGGAGATCAATTTTTGGTTTCATTTTATGGGGATATATGAACAAATGCGCTCATACAATGCACATTCGTATAGGCACAGAATTTCTTATATCTAACTCACATTATGTTCTTTCAGCTTAAATCTTTTGGCTGTTTCTGGTGTTTGTAAGAACACATTAGTATAAAAAAGGATTTTTCCATTCATTATTGCCTATTTTGAGAACCTCTAGAATAAAATAATACTTAACACGACTCTCATTCCTCGTGTGCACTTCTGGTCATTTTCATATAAAAGTGCATATGAGGGAAATGTAATTATGTCCGATGAGAGAAGACAGATCAGGAAGTTTGTAAAACCTTCTGGTGCAGTATTATATATGCCTAACTATAATCATAGATCTTTCACTTGTCTTTTATAAGCTTGTGTTTGCCATGCTTGAATTACGGTGTCTGGGAAGCATCACTTGCAAATCCAGAGGCAGTTTGCATTGGCTAAAGGTGAAGTTGGAACAATGGGAGACCATTTACAAAACTTTTGGCTTTACTGGATTGACCGGTTAATCATTAAATGAATCATTCATAAATCATTTATGTTTTTTTGTTTAATGAAATGCTTAGATTGGAGTTCAGAGGCTCATTTTTAGCATCAAACACGGTGATCTAATGGCACATTTTGCTCCCCACTGCAAACTTTGTTAAAAGACTAATTGATCATTAGAAATATGTGGTTTTAATTATGTAAGCTGAGCTGAACGCTGTTCTTCTGATTAAGAAATATACTTGGCTACTGATGTGCTTTAAGTTCCTGAATATAGTATAAAAATGCCTATAAAAGTAAAACAGAACCCATAACAGTGGTGGATGTAAAATGTCAATTGTCAGCTGGTGGAAAAAAGCTATAATATCATAGGTTTTTAAGCCAACAAGTGGAAAGTTTCGTTTGACAGTTATGATGTGTGATGCATATTCAACTCTTAACCTCTCGTACTTCCACCAGCTGGATTAGGATGCATTTAGCTGCATGTTAAAGAAGCATAGCTACATTTTGTTTTTATAGGTTATTAAAAATAAGGATGTCGCTGGCATTAACGCCAAGTCTAAGAGAAGATCTGGTGCGTGTTAAGAGGTTAACATGCAGAAGCCCATGAGCGACACTAGTCTAAATATGAAAGGCTGATATTTGGTGATATTTGTTGTGTATGACAGATTATTTGCTGCTGCGCCACATGCCAGCTTCTGTGAACTACGACAATGCCTAAATCTGCAGTCACAGAAGTCCTTCGCTACAATCATAAACAATGTCTTGTAACTTCTCAGATATTCCTTTATTGTTTGTTTTCACATTGTGCACTTTAAGTGTTTATACTGTTTAAAGACGCAGGCATGCAGCCTGGCGATAATCACCACCAGACATGTTGGGAACAGTTTTTTTCCTTTTATGTGAAAGGCACATATTTACTGCATAGCCCATTAAAAAGTGAAACAGCTACTGCAGTTTTTATGAATAGTTTTTAATCCCCAACCAGAAGCGTTCTTTTACAGATGTGCAATTTGTGATGATAATGTGTAAAGTTTTAATGTTAACGTAAGTGCTCTGATTTGGCTGACTATCTCAGATGTGCTTATGAGAAAATAGGAAGCAGACATACCAGTGGTAGATTTATCTCTGGTCTTACTTGATGCTCATTATTTCACAGATAATAACTCACTGGCTTACATCAACCATGTCACCAATTTCAGAGACTAATTGTCAGTAGGAAACTGAGAAATTGACTTTTTTTTTAAACATTGGTTTATTTGCAAGCTCTAAACTTAGAGGAGAAGGGAACCATATTTCATTTCTGCCTTTGTCAGCGATGCTCGTGCCATTCGTAGATAGATAGAGGGGGTTTCTTACTTGTTAATGGCATTCTTTAAGTACTGCTGCAGCCATTTGGTCTCAGGGTTGATGCAAACTTCCCTGTTGCTCTTCAGCTTTGCACTGTGGAAGAAAAAAAGCATGAATTGATTTGGTTACATGACACATTCTATCAAAATGAAGCAATCTTGAAAACAAAGCTGTTTTGACTAGCTGACTTTAAGCCTTGTTTTCTGACTGCACGAGTTGGAAAAATGCAGAGCAGATTTGTTCACCCAGAAGCTCAATGTGTAGATTTTAGGTGGGATGTGGGAAGATTTCCACCAATGAAAACAAGAAGGAAGGAAGCACAGGAATTACCAAGAAACACAGTAATTTTACTCAGTGAGGCAACAGTGCTGATCTCATTCAGCAGCAACACAGCATCTCCAGGCATGTTGATAACTAAGACTGTTGCTGCTAGTTTGCTAACTACATAAAGCAAACTCTGTATACACTTTGCTGTATATATCTAAATACTATATACTGTCAAGTTCCTGTGTTTATACTGTACATTTAATAACCAGTTCTCCATCCTTTATTTATTCTGTAATTTATTCCAGCAGTGTTGCACTCTGCACCATTGTATCACCAACACGGTGTTATTGTCTGTGTCATGTTGC